ATATATATATATATATATATAATGGGATAAGTTTTACTTTGTCTGGACCTAAGTAATTTTATTTTCTGTTTGTTAAAGTAGTGGATGCAAAGGTTGAGTCACGTGTTTGTAATCACATTCTATCCAGTCTTGCTGTATTTTAGTGACAAATTACTTCAGTTTGAGAAGAATTATGTATCATTTTACAAAGGGAGTAAGAATAAAGTTTATTTTTGTCAGTGATAGCACAGTGCATGTTTAGATTTTATTTTTGTCTTTTGTGCACAAAGTGTTTTGATGCATGGGCTGTGCCTGTGGAATCTATTTGCATGCAAATTTTTACATTCCCCTTCATTTGAAATGCTTCCTGTGATGCATGCAGTGTTTTCCAGCCGACTGACAAGGTGAGAGTGAATCTCACGCAGAATGGATCTACTTGTTCCTTTGTGGGTTTTTTTTGTTGTTGTCTGGATCTGCATACATGTAAATGGGGTGGCAGACACCGACACACACAAAGAAGAGACAGTAGAGCGAGGGAGGTTGGCACCACATATATTTACCTTTATAATAAACTATTCACGCTGATATGTTGTGTCCAATCTTATCTGCTTCTTTAGGTCGTCAAGAAAATTCCTCCATCTGTGATTGTGTGCCCCCTCCCTCCTTGCCTTCGGATCCTTGAGGTAAAACACTCTCTTTCAGATTTGCCAATAAATTTCAGCTTTGCAAACACATTTAAAACATTTCAAACTTAAGACATTGTTTCTTTTAAAAGTGTACGCGTTCATAATGCTCTGTTCAATTTCTTCACAATTTAATTTCTGTGCATTTTTTTTAACTCAAGAAACAATATAAGACAGTTTCTACTTATAGATGTTATTAGTATAATTCAAGTGGCACCACGATGAATACATTAATATTTTAGTCTGGTAGATGATTGTTTTATGCTAAAGATCACACAGTTTCTGAATTGGTCCATATTCTTTCTCCTTCATTTTTCTCTTTTGTTTCCTGAGAAGAAATGTTCCCGATTATTGTACACCTTTCATACTTTATTCAAAAAGAAGAAGAAGAAAAGACAATACCACAATATGACACAAACACAACACATTAGTGAAACTTTCAGCCAATCATCATGAACAACACAAGCAGGTGACCAGAGCCACCATTCTAATGTAAATGAAATATTAAGATTTCCTCTTTCGTCTCAGACAACAAGAGAGAGGAAGAATGGGGTATGAGCTTCTAGGGGTGAAACTGATTCACAGTGAAAAAGACAAAGTATTATGGAAACAACTTTTCCTTCAATGACTTCACTCAGCTGTAATAAAAAAGGGAGAGGATGTTCCAGCCGTGTAACTTCAGGGTGTATTGATGATAGTCTGAAATCAGGGTTTGTTTTGTCTTGATTTTTCACTTCAGACTTGTGACTCTGTGTGTGTGTGTGTGTGTGTGTGTGTGTGTTAAGGGATTATTTTTTGAAATTTTAATCATTTTAATCTTTCTAAAACATGAGGAAAATCAAGCACATTCAGAACAAAAATGAGCTATTTCTATGTTTTGTGTTTAAATGAACAGTGCGATGTGAAATCAGAATGAAAGGAGGATATTGCTCATATGTGGGTAATCAGCTTCGGAATTCACTTATTATTGTTGATATATACTAAGAATTTTTTTTTAAAGTTTGGGATTATCGGTATAATATAATATACCGATAATATATTGGGGAGTGGTGGCGCAGAGGTTAGAGAGGTGGGCTTGTGATCCGAAGATCGCCGGTTCACGCCCCGGCCCCGACAACATCAAAAATTGTGGGTGGGGTAGGTGAAACACCCACACTTAACCCCCACCCTCATTCGCCCCACTCTGGGCCCATGAGCAAGGCCCTTAACCCCACCATGTGCTCCCTAAACAGGTCTCTCTTGAAAATGAGTTCTCGTGGCTCAATGAGACTAACCTGGATAAATAAAGGCTAAATGAAAAAAAAAAAAAAAAAAAAAAATATATATATATATATATATATATATATATATATATATTATATATATATATATGGCTAATATATATATATATATATATATATATGGCTAATATATATATATGGCTAAAACCAAATTTCACATAAAAAAAAAATACATTTACAATCTATTACAACCAATCTTTACTTTACAAGGACTTTCAAACCATCTCTACGCTCAACAGTTTTTTTTTTCGACAAACTGATGTTTCTGTTTCTTCTTCCACAAACACACAAAACAACTCTTAATAATAATTGCTAATTAAAAACTGAAAAAGAAAATCATCAAGCTTACCAATCAAGTTCATTTGCTTTTGTCTACAGTGGTGAGTCAGTCCAGTCTTTTTCCATCACTGACACACGGCCTGGCTTTTGTTATGCCCAGCAATCTGTCTCTTATATTGAACACTCATTAATGAAAATAGTTGTGTTTATATGGACTGTTGCAACATTCAGCTATCCAGGGGTCACATTTAGAAACATTATAAAAACTCAAAACTTGCAGGTGCTTTAATTTTTCAATCCAAGTGACATGAGCAGCATGAATGTTCACACCACATGCTTCGTTTGGACTGTGTATACACATAATGTCGTTTATCCCTGATATGATAAAGTTCAGTGGGCTGTTGGCATTGGTGGTGTTGTTAAAGATAAAATAATTTTATATACAATAGAACAAGTTCAAAGATCCTGATTTTCTTTCTTATTATTGGCTTCTATCATATACTTCCATTGTGAATACAAGCAGATGTGTGGAACAGCTGTATGCAAAATTTACTTCTGTGCATTTCGCAGAGAACTTGCTAATGTAAAAAGCAAACAAGGATTTAGAAAAGGTGTATTTATTTATTTATTTCAGGAAAAGATGTCCAGGCATAGTTTTAAGATGCTGGTGCTGTTCTTGACTTTTATGAGGAACTGGGTTCAAAAGTCCAACTCACAACAAAAAGTCTAAAGCAAAAACATTTATTTCCATTTCACCATAGAGGGTCAGAAAATGTGCAACTTTGTTTTATTTGCTCCTCTTCTTAGATATGGTGCAATCCTACTCTAAATCATGACATGACATTAAACATCATGCCTGACAATACTGACATTGATGTGTATCTAGCTTTACAATTCAATTCAGTTCAATTCAATTAAAAATACTTTATTAATTCCAAAGGGAAATAAAATGTTGTTGTAACTCATCATCCTTGTTTCATTAAGAGATGTTCTAGATACTGATGGCTCTAGGCAGGAAGGCTCTCTTGTAATGGTCCTTCCCACAGTGGATTTGAAGAAACTGGCTGCAGATGCCGTCCAATCCGTCCACTCAGACTCTGCTGGCATCTCGTTTCCCCTGGACTGCAGGACCACTTGAATGCCTGGCAGAACTCCTCCCAGCAGCCTACCGAGCTCCTCTTTGCTGCGGACAGCCACCTGCAGGTGTCGAGGGATGATCTCGGTCCCTTCACAGGCATTTTCTGAGAGTTACAGGATTTCAATGGTCAGGCATTCGAGCACAGCCAGCAGGGAGATGGGAATACATCCACGGTGCCTCCTTTTCAACTCATTTGGGTAGTTGAGGTAATATTTGAGCTTCTGAGATGTTAATCAGCTGCTCCTGGTTGTCAAAAATCACCTTGTTGTTATGGTTGTGCATCATAACATATGTCTAAAAGTAAAAAGATTTCAGTAAAAATCCTTCCGGCTGCACAGCATCTGATACCAGAGGAAACAATCATTAAAAAAAGTGATTTACATCCAGAAAAAGAGGAATTATAGTTTCCAAAACCAATATTTCTGAATAAAGTAATGGAGCTACTCCAACATGCAGCCACCCCGAGTGGCTCAATTCTAACAGCTTCTTACAGTGATAACATCTACATCCATCCATCCATCCATCCATCCATCAACTTTACCCGCTTCTTTCTTTTCGGGTCGCAGGGGGTCACTGGTGCCAATATCCAACAGTCACTGTGTGAGAGGTGTGGGACACCCTGGACAGGACTCCTGTCAATCACAGAGACACATAGAGACAAATGAGACAAAAAAAAACATTCACTCTCTCACTCACACCTAGGGATAATTTAAAGTTACCAGTCAGCCTAACATGCATGGTTTGGGTCTGTGGGAAGAAACCAGAGTGCCCGTAGAAAACCCACGAATGCATGAAGAGGACACGCAAACTCCATCCAGAAAGGTCCCTGGCCAGGATTTGATCTGGCGATTTTCACGCTGAGAAGAAACAGCTCTACCAACTGATACACGTGCCACCTGCTCACATCACCTTGATTCCTGAAATGCACAA